TCTGCTGCAGGTTGTGTGTGTGTAAATCACCTGGGTGCCTGCACAGACCCGTCAGAACATCGTTAATGAGCCCCCAGTGAAAAGCTGCTGTCACATTTTAGTCTGCATTTATTTTTTAAAAGAGATGTTAATGGCTCCAAGTACTGGCAACTTTCTAACCCCAACATTTATACAACTACTGACCTTTAAGCCATTTACACCAGAATTCAATAAGATTTGATTGTGGAGCTGCCAAAATAGCTTTTATAGTATTACATGTTAGGATAAACAAAGAATACAATTTTGATGTACATTTATTTTGAGGTGATGTTCACAGCACATAACTGCAATTTTAGGAAACAGAACTTTTCTCTTTGCTTGAGGTTTTACCATCAATTACATTAGCTGCTTATATTTTGCCTTTAATTTACAACTAGTAAACCATAAAAAGAAGAAGAATAGTGTTTTGAACTGGCATACAGTTAAAACAAAGGTCATTATTTTACTTTTTTGATATCTAGAAAGATATCAAAAGATTGAAAAGTCAGCTGGAAATACTGAAGTACCAAACACTAGAGCTGTCTGCTTTAGCACAAAGACCGCTGTGTAGCTCTTTTAGTTGTCAGTCTCTCACAGCAGCTTGCTGAAATCTGACTAATCCTTCTAGAAGACTTCCTTCCAGTTCCAAGGTGTCTGAAGGGGTTTCGTAAGAACATCCTGGCCATTTAAAATCATCACATTTCACCATTTACAAATCTGATGACTACTCAGTATGGGACAAAGTGACATAACTTCACAAACACTACTTTAGTATTATATTAGTTAAACAGGGCTGTTGTCATATTGGACTTTATCTGTGTTACCATTACACTAAAGAAGGGAAAAAGAAAAATCTCTTCACCCCATTTCAATAAGGACAGAAGGCAGTAAAGCTCCATTCCACTAAATCATGGGTTTAACCATTACCACAGTGCATCAAGAGGTCTGACCAAACAGTTAAAGGCATGCAGTAAAAGTGCTGTAGAAATGTGTGTGAATGTATAAATCAAGCCTGCAGTAAAAAGTGCTCACATAAAGCTGGTTCTTAACTGGTCAAGTTAACCCAGGATGTTCTAGCTAATTTACATGAAAGGGTGACACTGGCACAGACCATTAACCATTAAGCACACAATCCCCCCCCTTTCTTTTCTGTAGACTTTTTCTATAGTAAGATTTCTAATCTGGACATGCTTTTCAGTTTTTATGTTTTCTGAGCATCAGAAATGAAGTGTATTTGTTTAATTCTGTGCGACACAGGTTATAACATAGTTTTACTCGTGTGTTTGAGTGCTTCTAGGCATGTCCTTCTATTTTACAAGTGTTTTAATGATTGTGAACTGACTCAGCGCTGAGTTCTTATAAGATATAGGCAACCTAAACATCAGATGTGTGCTTGAAACACCTCCTTAGCTTCTGCTTCATGCTTATGTTACAGCATGTGTACACAAGGTGTAACTCCTAAAAATAAGTCTACAATGATAACCTACACATAAGAGACTATTGTGATACTACTCTACCGCACTTTTACTGCATGACTTTAATCACTTTGTCTTTTTTTTTCCCCTTGGCTAAAAAACAAACAAAACACCAGCTTCATGTTTAGTTTACAGCCTGATGTTCTGACATTTGTCTTTCAAACTGGATGCTACAACTCAGAATTAATGAATCAATCAATGACATGTTGAGCTGCATCAAGCTTAACTTATGCTGAACACTTATCCTGCACAGCATCTCCTATTCTCTAATCACAAATCTGTTGCTCGGTCACTTTCTCAGACATGTGCTGGATGAGCGCTAACAGGCACACCAAAGAGGAATAAAATTGACTCACTACATGAGTACACATTTAACAGGTCATACTGCAATCTCCAATGTTGCTCTGGTGGTTAGCATACAAATCCAGAATAGCTGCGTGGAATCAAGTCTGCCATCATCACACAGAGAGGCGCACCTGGGTTTCAACTTCCAGCATTACGGAACCATACAGCAGTCAGACTATGCTCAACGCGAGTCACATACCTGTGAGGCGCTTAATAATAGTTACAGGAGGCACAACAGTTACTTCTCAGCTACCTGAGCAAAATCTCATCCTCATCATGTGCCACAGGTACTACAACTGCAGGCGAATTCACCCTCATGTGGAAGCTCATGTGAGCCCACAGGTCGTCATTCAATGAGCTGCTGTTGTGTCCGCTCAGACACTGGAACACAGCAACTATACAACTCCGTGCGCAGAGACTGTGGCAGGTTAGCTTTAGCAACTAAGCTTGTTGTACAACAACATCCATCCTGCTAATGTGGCTGCTGCATCCTGTCCTATGCCTTTACCCAGACAGCTAGCTATTTAGCTCACTGCTGTGTTTCTAACATTCGCGCAACACAAACAGGAAAAAGGATACAGTTTGAAGCCCTTCAAAATTTCCTTGGCCCTGTCTTCGTCTGAAGACATGTCCGAAATGGTTTGTTTTCGCTCCTTACAGATAACCTAGACTTTTCTGAAAAAAGACGGCTGCTGTTCACGTTAGCTTAACTACTTGGCTAACTACTAGTCAGAATTCACCTGAAATAACGTTCACTACTCTGCTGGACTGCAGGCTAAATCTGATCCGATAATGCAATCAGCTAAATATACCCAGCTAGCAAACGGGCTGCACACAGCCTAACCAGTGAAACGCAAGGGAACCACTATCAGCCAATCACAGGGAGAATAGCGAGCAAGGGCGGGACTAAAACGGATAAAGACGCGTCACCAGTGGCAACGCCACACACAAAGTATTACATCATTATTGCGCTGTCTGTGTGCTTACTTCTTTTATCATTTAAGCACTCACTCTCCTAAAACGCAAAACTAGGCGTGTGTTCAAATTCAGAGGCTGCCCTTAAAGACCGGAAGTGAGCGGCTGTTAAACTGGACCGTGTCCCCTACGACGCTCGGCTCTTGTTGCTTAGCAACCGCGACAGTAGACGCTGCATCCGTGATGGACGACCGAAATGGAGAAAATCTTTAATTTATGTCATTTATTTTACTTTTATTGGAGCAAAATTGTGTTGTTTCGTGTAATGTATGTGAGAACACCACAGCCGTGCGCGGACTCCCTTTAGCCAACAGTAATATTAACTTTAGCAAGTAAACTAGTTAGCTATAGTGTAGCTCAAGACACTCATTTCACTCATTTAATTTTGACGGTGCAAAAAATAATAGGTCTTATATTATACATATTTTATTATATATCCTGTAGTTACATCAAAACGTAGCTCAGAGATAGAATTTAACTCAGTTGTCCTAAATGTTACATTTCAGTTCAAATTCAGGGTATTTAGTTCTAATTCGTATTATTTTAAACCTGTATGACTGTGTCACAAATAATTATATACTGCGACCTCTAAAACTGTCTGAAAGCTTTAGTTATATTGAAGGGCAATATCCCTTAGTGACAGCTAGAAATATGTGATCCTTTTGTAGGTTTTAAATAAAATGCAAGGTAAACGGATGTAGTAAATATTCTTTTATTGGATGAGAAAATTGTGCAGTATAATTCTCTTAAGTTGTTAAAGACGGCTGGAAACTGTGGTTTGCACGCAGAATCCAAACAGGGCTGTCCTTCTCCAGGACCAAACAATACTAAAAACAGACATGTTCATTGTTGGTGGCAAATCTGTTTGTGCATACAATTTTACACAGTACGACTGCACCAGGCTTATGTAGAAGTTTTGAGCACCCCTTGTATCTTTATAATTTACATGGAAAATGGGAGATGGGTGGAGCAATTTACCATTTTTTCAGATGCTAAATCTTTTGATACTTATCTGGATTCATAATTTCATCGATTTTAACAAGATCTCCAACACCACTGGCTGAAATGCAGCTCCAACCATGAGAGAGCCTCCACCGTTTTTAACAGATGCAGGCTGTAAATCTTTTAATTTGGATCCATCACTCCATTGGGCCAGTTGCCACGGATTTTCAGTCCAGTTCTTGTGTAATGTGGCATACTTCAGGCTTTTGTTTGTTTACCTTTCTTAACAATGACTTCTTGAAAGCAACCCTTCCACTGAGACCATTTCTGATGAGGCTTCAGTGAACAGTACATGGATCAGCTGAAGGTGGAGATGCATCTCTCAGGTTCGAACCTGACTGAACCTCCTCAAATTATTTTTCTCTGCAGGTGATCAGTTAGCGGTTTACAACTACACTTTCAAGAATTTTTGAAATTAAAGGAAGGTTGGAGATTGACCTATAATGTGCCAATACAGCTGGGTCAAGTGATGGCATTTTAAGTAACGGTTTGTCTACGAAGGTCTGTGGTGCATAGCCAATTAACAGAGATGGAGATGATCAGCATTATTGAATTCACCTGTGAGTGCTAATTTTAGCACGACTGGTGTATGTGTCGCGTTTTGTAGTACTGATCACTCAAATTCTGTAAGACTACAAGCACATGCAAACTCATCAAAGAACAGCCCAGTTGGGATGTGAACCACAAACCCCTCACTGAGGCAACAGTGGTAACCACTGAACTTCCACACCTCAAGTTTCTCCATTTAAATTTGTGAACTCCTTTAAAATTTGGAAGTGGCTTGAGTGTGACCGTGTGTGAGACAGAATAAAGTGCTGGAGAATACTCAGCTGATTAAGCATTTTCACACACATGCCAAAGCTTCATGCTCCTTTCAAACAGAAAAGAATGGGCACAAGTCACCATTCTAAAATTTATTTTATACTTAAAGTACACATTTGTATACAAAAATGTATATGCTTTATTTCTGCTGCAGCGGTAATTTTACAAGTTCTTTGGTGATATTCATTCCTTTAGCCACAGTAGGCTAATCTACAGTCTGGTCTAAAGCCAAGCAGCATGTTATGTCTATATTTTGAGATTTCTACAAACATCTTCAGGTGTGCTGACGACCGAGATGGTTGCAGCAACATAAACAGATCTGATGAATGGTGACAAAGCAAAAAGAGAAAGACGAGGCTGGAATGTAGTTTCATGTTTTATTAAATGACTTTTACTCCTTCTTGGCAGCAGCCTTTCTCATGGCAGCCAGTACGTTGCTCAGCTCTTCTCTCTTTCTCTTGGCCCGAATGTGAGTGCCGATCTGTGAGGGGGAAAACAGTATAGAAATATTAGAAGAGCTCTGAGCTTTTCTGTTGTCCAGTCAGTGCATAAAAATCATATCCAACAAACGATCACAAAAAAGCTCAAGTCCTTATAAATGGCCAACACATTACAGATGGCTCATTATAAAACTACCTCACTGAAATTGTGAGAATGCACACATCTCAACTCATAGTTAGCAGTTGGAAGGCTGTGTAACATGGAAAATTATGAGTATAACCTCCAAATCACAAAACATGGTACTGATAACCTCAGTAAATAAACATGTTATGAAAACTGAGCTCATTTTGAATGTGATCGCAGCCACAAATCAGAAATAAGTTGGCGCAGGGTCACATGCAGCACTGTGTAGCATCCCCTCTTCTAACAACAACCCACAAGTCCACCAGAGCAGCTGCGGGACTTGTGGAAGAGGAATGTTAGAAGATTCTTCTTCTCTGTTAGAGGATTCCAGCTGCTCAGCAGTTCTGACCCTGCTTTATTCTGTTTTTGGTGCAAACTGCCACTTCCAAAGGTGCCGATTTTGATTAATATGACCTCAGCAGTTTTCCACTTTGCCTCAGTCTATCTTAAACTGGCTTTGGTCCAGAGAAGACAGCGGTGTCTATGGATCACGCTCCCATGTGGCTGCCTCTTTGCATGACAGAGCCCCAACCTGCATCTGTGGAGGGAACGCCGAGCTGTGTTCACACACTGATCCTGAACCCATGCACTGATTTCCACCACACAATCATGCCCGTTTTAAGGGACTGGTGATGCAGATATCCAACAATGATGATATTATGAACTACAGATGATGAATTACTCAAAGTCTTCACATGTTTACAGTTTTCTGCAGAATGGTGAACCTCTGCCTCTCTAAGATGCTCTTTTAGACCCCTTCATGTGACTCACATGTTGCCAATAAACCTAAGTGGCTGCTAAATGTTCCTCCAGCTCTTTCTTTTTAGTGCCACTTTTTCAGCTTGACCCTGTTCGAATGTTCTGATACCTGCTGCTGCCATTGAGTCAAAATGAGCTCAGTTTTCTTAACATGGTACAATAATTCAGTTTAAACATAGAGCTGGGCGATAGAACGATAACGATATGTATTGCGAAATAACTTTTTCTCGATAGAAAAGTTAAACTATCGCGATAGACCTCACCGCTCGTCCTCTTAAAAAAAGAAAAAAAAGAACAGCCAATCCAAATTAAGTAGCGCAGAGCCGAACCAATCACAGCCGCAGGTCACGTCGACGTGACTTGTTACGTACAGCACAAGTGCCAAGCCGCACATGTGTTTTGTTTGGGAAGCAGCCAGCCGTCGCCGGGTAATGGAGGAAATGAGTGTGCCGACTAGAAAAATCAACCGAGCGTGACCGAAGAGAAAACAGATGATGGTTCCAACGCCGGAGAGATTGTCGAACGGAAGAGCCATAGAAGTTCCGTAGTGTGAAGGTATTTCGGCTATTTCAAGTCTGACAAAAAACAGAGTAGCGCGCACTGTAAATTGTGCCGAAAGCAAGTCTGGAAATACAATAAACGGTGCATGCTCAATCTCTGACTGGAAGCGCTAATTCGTCATTCGGCTTTTGTCAGACTAAAGTAACTGTTAAAACTGTTTGAAAAGCTCAGCTATACAACAAGGAGAGATTGAGAATTTCCTTTTAGTTCTCAGTTTATTTGATATTGACAAAAGTTAGTCAGTTTTGTCTGTTCTTCTGTAAAACAAACTAAGATTTATTTTTAGAATTAATATTTTGTTTCTAAGTGGAATTGACAATTTAGTCTGTTTCGTTTGTTCTATTTTGAAACTTAAACGCTTTAGCGGCTGCCTTTTGTGTAGTTTGCAATATTTGCCTTTATTTATCTGAAAAAGTCTCATGTTCCTTAAGTACATCTACCCAGTTGAAGTTATTATGGGAAGTAAATATTTAAATAAAAACAAGCTGCTGATTATTTCACATTTTACTTGTGAGCAACGGCACATTTAAATCTTACAAATATAGTTATTTGGCTGATATCGTGATAGATATCGTTATCGCCTGAAATGAAAAAAACAAAAAAAACAAAAACATATCGTGATATGAAAAAATCTCATATCGCCCAGCTCTATTTAAACATGTAATATGTTTTATAAATATTATAAAGATAATACAACATTTGCATAATCGTTATTTACATTTTACAACTTGTCCTCACTTTTGTGGTTTGTAACCGGGCAAACACTACTGTGGTTTAGGCTGGCGAGTGCTTTGACACAAACTCACCCTCTTCTTGATGAACTTGAGGGCTCTCTTGTCCTTGGACACTTTCAGCAGCTCCATGGCTCTCCTCTCATACGGAGCAAACCCACACACTTCACGGATCATATCCCGCACAAACTTGGTGTGTTTGGTCAGACGCTGGGCAGTAAAGACATAAGTACACGGTAAGTCAAAGCATTTAACACCATTGACTCTATTTGGACATAATGTGATATAGGAATGTTGATGCCTGACAGATTATGCTTATGTGGACTGATTTACACTATGTGTCATCAAACGCTTCAGGTCAAGCCAGTCACAGAGTAAGTACACAAACTACTGTCTGAAGTGCAAATATATTTATCTTAACACTTGTAATATAGTCAAGTCTGTAAAGTCACTCAGCAAGAGATACTCACCCCGCGCCGGCGGCTGTGTTTGGGAGCAGCGACATTTTTGGTGACTGGGTGGCCTTTGTTAAGGCCAACAGCCATAGGATAACGAATAGCCATGTCTGCGGAGGATCACACGAAACATTAAGACAAGTGCAAATGATGAGGCTTTAACTAGCTGCAATCTCACATGATCAACATATCAGAACAAATATTTTAGTATGCAATAGCAGGAAGACCAACACCGACAACAGGCTCTTGTCTAAGTTCTATTGTAAGCAGTGATGGGAATAAGAGTCATGATAAACAATATATACGCGGCGTTTTTTTCCTCAATAGTTTCGTCACATTTACTGTCTAAGGACAGCGCAGCAAGCACTCTGCTTATGAGCAAAAAAAACCAGGGGAAGTTTTAGGAGTGACAGCGAGAGAGAGAGAGAGTAGAGAAAGAGAGAGAGCGAGTTTTGAGACGTTTAGGTGTTTGGAGTGTGTAGTGTTGTGGATAGTTTTGTGTTGTGTGTCAGAACAATGAGGCGACTGCTGTCTCCAGGTAGAAACAGGAGTGATACACCTGCTGCTGTCAGACCTGCAGGTATCAGGCTGTGATGTTCTCCTTTATAGTGGACAGAAATTATTCTTTTTTGGAGTGGCACAAATAATTTGTGTGGCATCTTATTGAATGCAGAACAGCTGATTGTTCTGTAAATAGTTTGAAATAGTTATTTAAAAAAATCAAGGTAAAAGGTAAATGGATGCAAATAACTTTGTTGTTTGCAAAAGTTGTGCAGAGGATTTTAAAATTGACAATTTCTATTTGCATTTAAAGTTTTTTTGTCTGATTTTAGATCCATTGTGTTAATACAGTAAGTCAAAATGAAAACAGAATTGCAAATTCAGACACGCGAGGTTGTGCTGAAAAGGATGATACCAAACAAGGCAAAGTAAATAGTTTTTAAAGGGAAAATGTGGAGGGAAAATCAAGTAGTTAAAATGGCCAATTATACCCTGGACCTCAGAGCGTTACATGTTTTATTAAAGTAACACAATAGTTACTTTTCAAGTAATTAATTACTTTTAGAATATTGTAACTCAGTTACTTTTTTGAAAAAGTAACTAGTAACTAAAATTAATTACTTTTTCGAAGTAACTTGCCCAACACTGACTGTAAGCCACATCAGCTTTGCACCCATGGGCAATGTTTTACCGAAGCCTTTTCTCCTCCTTGAGTGGTCTACATCACTGGGTTCAGTAGTGCTATGATCATCTGACAGCAGGAAAGCTCAAATAAAACAGGGTGTAGATGTGACATGACAAGGTCTGTGACACAGGAGTAGGAAGGGGACCTCCATCGCTTTACTTTACTGCAAAGGTAGCTGTAGCTCAGGAAGTCGAGCAAGATGTAAGGTCAGTGGAATCAATTCAACCTCATAAAAAAAAAAAAAAATATATATATATATATATATATATATATATATATATATACACACACACACACACACACACACACACACACACACACACACACACACACAACAGACCAATTACTCTCGTTCAATGCATGCGACCTGCAGATTAGACAATAACTGTGTGCAAAAAGAATGTTAGCAGGAGCTTCTGGTTCTTTTGAGCGAGCTATTTGAAACAACACCATAATTTGGTCTCAAAAACATTTCTTACAGTGCTAACAGGACTCCAAATCTCCGTTTAACAACCACAATCTAAACAGGTCAATGTCGGTGGAAGCTTAACCATCACAGTTACACTGAGTGAACGCTGATTACTAAAATGTGCTCTGCTGCAGCCACCTTCAGTAAAAACTCTTGACTTGGACTCGCCATGTAAGACACGCGAGGTAGCCTGGAGCAATCTGCTATTTCATTTCCAATTTTGAGGGTACAAGCGACCTACTGGCGCTGATCCGTCACATCGGGCCGGTAAAGCTTTAGTGTCCACCAGACTGTGCGACAGCTCCCTATGAGCCCGCAGGTCTGCTCGCTGCTTTAGCTTCTCACTACAACAATATTCAGTCTACGCTCGGAAGCACCGATTTCTACGCACTCAGGAACATAAGGAAAACGGACACGGCTGACTAGACGCCACATTTTCTTCAACTTCATATAATACGGTGCTACAATACTGAGCTGAGACGTAAAGTAAGGTTAGTAGTTACTAACAGTTTCAACAAATCTTCTAAAACTCGACGGATGGCAAAGATTAAAAACGGCTTTTGGCTAAAACTTCTCGACATTAAAATCGTACCTGCTATCTTTGATGGCGGTCAGGCCGGAAGGACTGTTGCGTGAGCTAAACGGGGCAATGAAACCCGGAAAACGCTTCTGTTACGCTGGCGTGACAGCGCGCCCTGCTGCCCGGGAAGAGAAAGCGTTTTTCATTTTAATGGGGTTTTCTCATTTCACTAATCTGTCTCTGGAATCAGTCTATGTACACTATGTTAAAGGTCGTTTTATTCCTAAAATGCATTTGGAGGTTAGAGGATGGTTAGAGGATGGAGGAGGCTGTGATGATGCACAGCTTTATCCTATGCAAAAGTGTTTCTAATCTTCACCGAGTTTGGTGCATCAGTATATAAAATCCATAGCTCTTAATATTCTAATACAAATACCATTGTTGTTTAGTGAGACTTTTGATTCTTCTTGCCCTAAATGTCTAAATGTTTTTTTCTATATACATTGAAGGAAATAATTATTCCCCTAGAAATCACTGTTGGTGAGTACAGTGAGATGCTTCTTGTAGTTGGTGGAAATGTGAACCAATAGATCCTTTGGGTTTTTTGGCTGCTGACACACAACTTCACACAGACAGACACACAGCTCCTCCTTACTAACAGCTGGATTAGCTAATGCTAATAACACTTAACAAAACGTAAGGAGAAAGTTCAGAGGTCAGCAAAGCTCCTGTTTTCAATAAAGTATTAAACAGTCTTCATGAATGTTAACCTGGCCGACACATATGGTAACATTAGCTGTTTAGTATTAGCATAGTCCAAAAGCAAACCAATCCCCCAAGACAACAAAAGGGGCATAGTCCAACACAAAAAGTTCAGAGGGCTAACCGCAGGTCCAACTTCGGCAATGGAACAGTTCAGGTAGGCAGCAACAATGGCGAAAGAGTTTTGGTGGCCAGCAACGTGCTGGCAGTGCAGATTGTGACTGAACTGGATGTGGCTTGGCAGATCATGGATGTGTAGGCCATAGCTTGGCAGGACATTGATGTGCAGACTGTCTCGCTCAGGCATGGCAGGTCGTGCACGGCAGGTCCAGGCAGTGCGCTGTCTTCCGGCTGGGGTGTGGCAGGTCCAGGTGGCACACAGATCTCCAGCTCGGTTGTGGCAGGTCATACGGTGTGCTGTCCTCCAACGTGGGTGCAGCATGTCCAGGCAGCGCGTTGACCTCCGGCTGAGGAGTGGCAGGTCAGATGGCGTGCTGTCCTCCAGGTTGGGCGTGGCATGTCAGGCACGGCAGGTCCAAACGGCACGCTGGCCTCTGGCTCAGGCATGGCAGATCCAGACGGTGCGTTGACCTCCAGCTCAGGTGCAGCATGTCCAGGCGGCACGTTGCCCTCCGGTTCAGGTGCGGCAGGTCCAGAAGGCGCGCTCTCCTCCAGGTGGGGTGTGGCAGGTCAGACGGCGTGATGTCCTCCAGCTTGGGTGCGGCAGATCCAGGTGGCACGTTGTCCTCCAGCTCAGCCGTGGCAGGTACAGGCAGCGCGTTGACCTCCGGCTCAGGCGCGGCAGGTCCAGAAGGCACGTTGTCTTCTGGTTTAGCCGCAGCAGGTCCAGGCAGCGCGTTGACCTCCGGCTGAGGAGTGGCAGGTCAGATGGCGTGCTGTCCTCCAGCTTGGGCATGGCAGGTCCAGGCAGTGCGTTTAACTCCAGGTTGGGCGTGGCATGTCAGGCACGGCAGGTCCAAACGGCACGCTGGCCTCTGGCTCAGGCATGGCAGATCCAGATGGTGCGTTGACCTCCAGCTCAGGTGCAGCATGTCCAGGCGGCGCGTTGACCTCCTCAGGTGCGGCAGGTCCAGAAGGCGCGCTGTCCTCCAGGTGGGGCATGGCAGGTCAGACGGCGTGATGTCCTCCAGCTTGGGTGCGGCAGATCCAGGTGGCACGTTGTCCTCCAGCTCAGCCGTGGCAGGTACAGGCAGCGCGTTGACCTCCGGCTCAGGCGCGGCAGGTGCAGAAGGCACGTTGTCCTCCGGCTCAGGCGCGGCAGGTCAGACGGTGCTCTGACCTCCTAACCAGTCCAAATGGCTTGCTGACCTCCAGCTCAGCTGCGGCAGATCCAGGTGGCGCGTTGACGTCCGTCCGGTGTATGGAAGTTTACCAGAAACCCACACACACAGACCAGTACCTCCTCTTTGACTCCCAACGCCCTCTGGGACACAAACTTGGAGTAATCAGGACCCTAAAACACTGGGCAGAAAATGTTCCCTCTAAACCAGAAGGGAAAAAGAGGGAACACACACTTGTAAAGAAAGCTCTTTTTTGATCATCAAATCAGCAAAGATGCACAGAAAAGAAGGTCAGACAGACAGGTCAACAGGACAACACTCGGCTGTCCATCTGCATCTTAAGGACAAAGGTCACTCTTTCGAGGATGCCGATGTTCACATTTTGGACAGATTAGACAGATTGTTTGAAAGAGGAGTGAAAGAAGCCATCTATGCCCATTGTGAACGACCATCTTTGAACAGAGCTGGTGGCTTATGACACCAGCTGTCTGCCATCTATAATCCAGTTTTGAGATTCCTTCCCAGACGGCTTCTAACTTAGAAGCAAAACCCAAGTTCACTGTTGCCGGTGGCCTAGCACAACAAACAGTACCTGTTTTAATGAGCTGACCAGGCCCAAAACACACAGTATCTGTGGCCACTGACCCCGAAATACACAGTAGCTGTGTAAGGCAGTGAGTTTATTTACAGTGATATAAAGTGAACAACAATAGGTGACAATCCTCGCACTGTGGGTCCATGCTGATTCTCCATGAATCCCACACAGTGCTCGTGTCCGTTGTGTGAATTGTGACAACTGCAATTCCCGCATTTGTACAGTGGCTGGGCTCCCATAACAAACTCTGTTTCCAACATCTCGAGGAAAACACACATACGTTGTTGATGTGGCAAGCTATGCACACACAAAGTTTTCACAAGCTAATGAATGAACTCAACATCCCAGCGCAGGCTGAAGCTCAGCCACACAGTTGTAGAGAGGCTGCTGACGAAGGCAATACACTGTAAAAAAAAAAAGGATTTTGGGGATTATTATATATTTTCAACTACCCTGCTAATCAGTTAATCTGGTTGAAAACATTCACAAAACAAATAAAAATGGTTCTAAAAAAAGCATTTCTGTTTTCTTTTCTCTTCTCTGAAAGTAAACTTCATGTTTTTGAAAATGACAAAATTGGTGAAAAAGATCAAATTGTTACATTAACAGAGTAATTATTGCAGTCCAATATCATCAGTCACGAATTTAGCATATTTGAATTACCTTTTTGGGGGGCTGCCATCTCCCCAGCCAGCATTTGCCTTGCTTTAAACTGTCTCATCTATAATTATTTATGATAAATAATCATGTCTTATTATAATATATAATAATAAGACAAGTGTGGAGTTAAAATGTTTCATCATCCAGTTCTGCAGAGAGTAGTACACTGTTCAAGGTATTGAGCCAACCTACATTTGAAGAGCTCCATACACCTTGATGTTTTAGAGTGAAGGGAATCATTTTGTACCTCGTTTGTGGTTTTGATAATGTCATTGATTAAAGATGTTGACATAATCATTGTTTGCCGTGTCTGAAAATAAAATCTGGTGTAAATCTAAAAATCCCTAAATATGTGGGGGCTAATTAGTTAAACTGATCATTTATTAGTAAATATTAAGTAGGTTTAACAACTGTGTACTCATAAATAATAAATTACTCCATTTCTATGAGTCTTTAGTTTCATAATCTACTTATGAGTGTTGGGCTTAAGGATGTGCACGACTGGTCGACTACCTGACTAATCGTCGCTATTTTCACTAGTTGGTACCAGACTTACTTGTTGTTTCATTATATTGTTAAAATTAGTGTGAATGCTGATTAATTATTTTCAGTGTAGAGATCATAATCTTTATTATTAATGTATTCCATATGTTTTGTGTAACCTTCAACTATGAGCCCTCTACTTTTCGACATGGGTGTTTGTCTTTTTCTCATTTCTAACATTTACCCACAAACCATAGTCAGCTTGGTCTATGGTTTGTGGGATAGGATTCACGCCTCTGCCATTAATCTCACCAAAGAGCAACCTCCTCCATCCAACTCTTCCACTGAGAACAAAATTAAAACAGCTCCCAAATTTTGTTTATAAATCAGAAGTGCAGGCTGTCTTTGCGCTGCCACCACATCTACATAATAAACTCTACAGAGTTAAAAAATATTTTTAGGATTTTCTAGGAGGCTGCTTATATTTCCATAAATGGACAATAACAAACAAACATAATTTGAGATTTTTGTTAAAAGTCTTGTTTAGTTTTTTTCAATAGAGGTAAATTCATGTTAATGGATTTGTGTTAATTTCATGTTCAGTATTTTCCATAAAAGCACAAGTTTATATTTAATGTGTCAATTAGTTATAATTTTGGCACTTACAAGCATTACTGTAATCCGATTACTTTTTTCAAGTAACACGTAAAGTAAGGGATTACTATTGCAAAAAAGTAATTATATTACTGTTACTTTCTCGTAAGTACGCTGTATTACTAAACTGTGATTTTGTTTGTGAGAATGTCTCATGACAATGACGTATGAGCGTGCGACATCTGTGGCAGCAACAGATGTGTGTTGCTGGAGAGAGTACGACCATGCAGCGTTTAAAGCTTGGAAGTACTGACATTACTTTGAGTTTGACTCTGAAAAAAAGTGACAAAAACCTTAGCGTCTGCTGTACACTCTGTGTGGGAAGAAAACCTCTTTCTACAGTGAAAAATTAAACTTCAAATCTGAGCAAACCCCCGGATCCCCCCATTGACATGAAAGCTGCGGCACCAGGAAAACCTCCACCGGCGCCACTCCTGCTAAACAGGTGAAAATAGATTTAAGAACAACAGGAGTTAGTGCCGCTGAATCTTTAATTTTATTTATTTTTTGCAGTGTTTTACTTTCATATATTTGAAATAGTGAGTGTAAACACAAAAAACCCCATTTTATTTTATATGCTGGAATATACAGGAAATTTCTTCAAGTCAAACACTATTGCATATCATTTAACTGCAATGCGTTAAAAGATTAAAATTAATAAAACAAGTTTTTAAAAGAGACTTCAATTTTATATGATGGATTATGCTCAAACAGTAGAATTAT